TGGGGCTCAGACTTACAACCCCAAGATCAAGAGTTGAATGCTCTACCAACTGAGCCAACCCGGCAGCTTTGGTTGGGAGGGATTTACCCCTAGGGCAAGGAGCAGTTCTTAGGGTTGAGGGTTTAGAATAGTGGTTGTCAACTGGGGATTATTTTTCCCCACTTCCTTCCCCCAGAGAACATTTAGCAGTGTCTGAAGACATTGTGGTTGTTGCAACACAGGGTCGTGCTACAGGCATCTACTGGGTAGAGGCAAGCGATACTGTTAAGCATCCTACAATCATAGTAGGATAATCCCCACACGACAAAGAATTACTTCCCCCAAATGTCAATAATGCCAATGTTGAGAAACTCCGATTTTGAGAATGTCTGTCATTGGAAGAATCATCAGGTAAAAGGAAGAGGAACCCAAATATAGGAATAGAGGGAGATGAATGGAGATGAATACTGGAAGGTAGTTACCATGGACCATTAATTAGGGAAACTGATAATGAACCAATGTGATTGGCAGTTAACTGTGGTTCTGAATATAAATAATGGACTCACATGAATTCTTACCTATTTGCTACTTCTAGATGTGTAAATATGAACAAGTTAAATTTAACTTCTCTTGAGCCTTAGTCTTCTCATCTCTAAAGTGAGGATAACCAGAGTACCCTCCCTTACAGAACTGTTGCATAGACTCAGCTAAACAGTAAAGTGCTTAGTACTTACTGTGTCTTGGTTATGTAAATATAAGTGGTTTTGGTGGGAAGGATTGCTTTCCTGGGGAGGGGAGGTTAACTTAATGCTCAGCAGTAGGAACCAGGCTTCTTATATTTTAATTCCATCCCAAATGCAGATCTGTAAGAAAGGACTGAACCCATGATAAATCTCCTAGAACTCCCAATTTTCCCGTATTAGGTTAGCTCATTCACCTCTTACAACAGGACATTGTCAAGTAGAATTTAGGGAGGTGGTTTAGGGCTCATTTTATCTGCAAACCCTTTTAAGTCTAAGACTTCTTTTGTCATAGGTCAGTCAGGAGATCCTAGAGTTATTAAATACAACAACAGCCAAGGAACAGTCCATTGTTGAAAAGTTTCGCTCACGAGGTCGGGCCCAAGTACAAGAGTTCTGTGACTATGGAACCAAGGAGGAGTGTATGAAAGCCAGTGATGCTGACCGGCCCTGCCGCAAGCTGCACTTCAGGTGTCTTGGGAGGGAGAGAGGTGGGGTGGGGCTCCCAGACGCACTCATTCCTTTTCAGCACATTTCTTCCAGTCACTGGGGTTCTGTCTTTGATCCTGTCATTAAATGGTTTTAATGATTTGTATTAGACCTCCAGATTCTGAAGGTGTACTTTCAGAAGTAGTGTTCTGTGGGAGAGAATACAGACTGCACTCCCAAACAGATGTGAGATTTTTTTAAATAATGTCCCTTTCTTCTTGCATTAGCAAGGCATCTCTGTCTCTGAGGCCCAGTAAAAGTTAAAGTTCTCTGGAAGGATGATCTTAGGAGAAGTAGGAACTTGGGCTCTAAGGCCAGTGTTTTATTCAGCTCTAACCAGAAAGCCCTTTTTCCTGTCCTAAGAAAGTTGTCTTTGCTCAGAGAGGAATTAAATTCTTCTTTAGTGTGAATTATGGATTTCCATGTTACCTGCTTCCTTTCTCTGAAAACTCTTGGAGGAAGCTCTAAAGATAAAATTAGGAGAGGGTAATAAAAGACAAAATTTTGAAACAGTTTGGAACTTGAACTATGGGATCTGACTCTGGAACACCATCTTGATTCTCATTCTCCCTTTTTATTTTCCCAGACGAATCATCAATAAACACACTGATGAGTCATTAGGTGACTGCTCTTTCCTTAACACATGTTTCCACATGGATACCTGCAAATATGTTCACTATGAAATTGATGCTTGCATGGATTCTGAGGCTCCTGGGAGCAAAGACCATACACCTAGCCAGGAGCTTGCTCTTACACAGAGTGTTGGAGGTGACTCCAGTGCAGATCGACTCTTCCCTCCTCAGGTACCTGTCCGCTCAGAAAACTTATTTCAGCTTAGAGACTTATATCTGAGTAGGGCAGCCATACATGTAGGAAAGCAGGCAATCTATCTTACGGATTGGGAATGGTGTGGGATATACATATTTATAATGGAATAGGAAAATCAAATGGAAAAGAGGGACTGGGGCCATGAATCTGAGAGTGAAGGAAGGGAAGATGACCAAATACCACCTCATGCAGTGGATCTGTTGTGATATCCGCTACCTGGACGTCAGTATCTTGGGCAAGTTTGCAGTTGTGATGGCTGACCCACCCTGGGATATTCACATGGAGCTGCCCTATGGGACCCTGACAGATGATGAGATGCGCAGGCTCAACATACCAGTACTGCAGGATGATGGCTTTCTCTTCCTCTGGGTCACAGGCAGGTAATGCAGTTCAAAGATATGTAGGTATGGGCAGATATAGTACAGAGTGAGTACTGGGTGGGAATAAAATCCTGGGTTTTCCTAGCCCTGCTATTAACTGTATGACTATGTCAGCCTTTTTTGCTACTGAGACCTACTGCCTGTATATAACATAAATGATACTTGAATTCTATTTAACTTTACATCTGTTCCTTATGAAAGGTAAGGCCATTGAGAATAGATACTGTTTTATGTTTTCATTCTTAGATCCATCCTGTTGCCCTAACGGTGTCTTGCATGTAAATGTTCACTGAATGTCTACTGAAAACATTTCGGTATCTTGAAGGGATAAAAAATACGGACATGAAAGCAGCTGTTTAACCCTTTTCTTTTTAGGGCCATGGAGTTGGGCAGAGAATGTCTGAACCTCTGGGGGTAAGTAGTGATCATTGTGTTGCTTTCTACTGAAGGAAATAGAAATGTAATTGCTGTAGTTGAGATGTGTTCTCTTCTCCCAAGTATTCCCTGTGAGTCCTTTCCTCTGTAGAGTAGATGGTACTACCCCTAAACTGTGAAAGCCGGATTAAAGCTCTAGTTCTCTTTCTTATGTCCCACAGTTATGAACGGGTAGATGAAATTATCTGGGTGAAGACAAATCAACTGCAGCGCATCATTCGGACAGGCCGTACAGGTCACTGGTTGAACCACGGGAAGGAACACTGCTTGGTGAGCAACACTGGGGCCCAGTTCAATAGGTGGAGCAGAAAGAGGAATTGTTGGACTTATTGAGAAAAAGTTCAAATGCTGGGGGTTCCATAAGGTAATCTGTTCTCTGTGGTGAGCAGGTTGGTGTCAAAGGAAATCCCCAAGGCTTCAACCAGGGTCTGGATTGCGATGTGATCGTAGCTGAGGTATGTGCTTCCCCAGGCATCCAAACCTTCCACATTATTCAAGTCAGGTGTGTTCCAGGTTCTCTCATTTGATCATAAATATAAATGGAAAGGGCTAGACTTGCAATCTTTGGTAACTTAAAAGTAACTAGAGCCTTGCTTTCCTAGGTTCGTTCTACCAGTCATAAACCAGATGAAATCTATGGCATGATTGAGAGACTATCCCCTGGCACTCGCAAGATTGAGTTATTTGGACGACCACACAATGTGCAGCCCAACTGGTAAGGCGAACATAGTAGCCCTCCTGTTTATGGTCAAGGATGGCTGTTAGTAGAGCTTTACCTCATATTTCAGTAGTTTAAAAATGGACTTCAGAGGATTCAGAAGCCACCCAAGCTTGTATTTAAACTGTTTTATGGGGCTTTGCAACATTCACTGGAGACCCAACAGGTTTTAAGACCCAAATCACTGCTCTCTAAAGGGTATCTACTAAAGATTTTCCTCAGTTATTCTATGGGATGTATTGAAATCTGCCCCCTGGTGGTTAAGAATCCATTTACTGTCAACAGTTTCAGTATCTTTCATACTGTTGGTAGAGCTTTGGAAGACATGTTGCTAGCATTTTTTTATCCAAAGAATACTCATTGGCAGCAACTTTGTGAAGTACGCCTGGTTAGCTCTCTGTTATTAACCCTTAAGTAATACAGAGCCAGCCTGTTTTAACACCAAAATCTACCCAATTCCTAACCAGTCATACTACCAAATACTATTCCAATATTAAGGTCTTCTTAAAAGAATTGGCATGAATATTAGATGAGATGATAGGCAGCCTTAATAGAAGGTAAGCATCTTTTAACAATATTAAGCCTTTTAATTCCAGGATTTTTGGTTTGCCCCTTCTTTATCTTTACTTCAGGATCACCCTTGGAAACCAACTGGATGGGATCCACCTACTAGACCCAGATGTGGTTGCCCGGTTCAAGCAAAGGTATCCAGATGGTATCATCTCTAAACCTAAAAATCTGTAGAAGCACTTCCTTACAGAGCTAAGCACCTACAGCCATGGCTCTGTAGGCTGCACCTGAAGAGTAATATTTGTACAATAGTTTTTCTTCCTTATTTAAATAAAAGTTTGTATTGTAGTTGGGATTTCAAGGTCAAAATCTGGCTCTGCCACTTAACATTGTGTGATCTCGTGCACCTTATCTCTCAGTAGGATTTCTTGCATGTAAGCTGGGAATATGCTACCTAACCTCACTGGGTTGTTGTAAGGTTCAAACTAAATGAGTGCATGGAAAGCATTAAAATGTTGATTATACTATATAGGATCAAAGTGATTAGCAGTTAGTACTACATGAATGTCGTAATCAAGAAGGGGGTTCTCTGGGACAGCTATTTCTCAAGGTAAGATTTGATTTCACTTAAGGTTATCATCATTAGGGCTAACATGCTCTAAATATTTGTTTACCCTTTCACAACTATGTGGCTTTGCTTGTCTTTTTTTTTTAGCTTATTTCCAAGAAAAATGAGATAAGCACATCTTAGATTAAATTTAAATGAATCCCTACGGTGTACAGAGAATTAGCCTATATATTATGTAAGTGAAAACACCTCTAGCCTATCTTTTAAAAGATATTTCATCAAACACAAGTGAACACAACTTCTTTAGACTTTGGTAAAACCTCTTATATTAAGGATATAGACTTCTGCCTTTTACACTCATAAACTGTGGTAAGTGCAAGAGGGAGGATCAAGGATTACAGAAATAACATTATTTGTAAAGAGAAATAAATAAGAAACTCCCAGGTGATAGTATTTTCCCTACAGCCCAGGGTGCCTGTTCTGTTGAAAACTTCTGTTCTCAAAGCAATTGTTCCTGTTTAAGAGATAACCTTTAATGCAACTTTTTATCCCCTTTAAAATGGATGCACACAGTGTTTTAGCCTAGGCTCAAAGCTGAGTATTCTCCCATCATTTTAATAATTGTTTAGGCATGTCCTATGACAATTATACCGAGTTTCCTCAAACAACCCCCCACCATCACCACCCCTATGTTCTGCTTGTTCATATTCCCTTTACCCTTCTCTGCTATTATCACTGGTATCTCTGCTTGTACTTGAAAGTGAAAAGCAATTCCAGGTTACAGCCAATTCAATGGCCTTGCTCCATAGTATGGCCCCTGATGAAGAGACAGAAAAGGGGAGAAGCATGAAGGACCATCATGGGTTGAGATCAGGCACTACCAGAAGCCCAACTTGTTTTTTAAAAAGAGGCTCTTAGACATGTTCCCAGCAGATAAGTCTTGACTGGCTTGGAGAACAGGAAGGACTACTTCACAAACACCACAGTGTTTGAATTTCTAGAGGCCACCCAGGCCAAGAAGACATCCCTGCAGTGCTTCACCGCACATTCATTGCTGCAGTACTCATTGTCCCAGTCCTTGGGTTCTCACAACCGGATCTCACACATTGAGGCTGGGGTGAGAGTGTCACGGGAGACCCACTCACCAATTCAACATCCATTTGAGAAGGAGACTCAACCTCAGGAACTACACCTGTGATCATCTCACAGATTGTCTCAGGAGAGGTTTCCTCCACCGTGTGGGCCTCGGGGCTGTTGTTCACAGGCCGCTCAGGACTGCTTTCCACAGCTGGTGGGACTAAGGGCGTCTGCATTTTCAGAGTGGGTGGAGGCACAATCTTGATCTGCAGAGGAGGTGGCTGTTGCTGTAAACTGATCCGAACTTTCTGAGGTGGAGGCTGCTGCATGGCCTGCAGTGGGGGAGGCTGCTGCAGAATGGTCACTTGCTGCTGAGTGGGGGGCTGAGGCATCGGTTACAGTGGAGGGGGTTATAGTCGGGGTGGAGGCAGGTGCGTAGAAGCAGCAGCTGCTCCGCTGCTTGCAACACTGAGCGAGTGACAATTTGGGCTCGTTGACTGGGCGGGATAGTGGCTGTGCTGGTTTGGCCTCGTTGGACCCCCCGGGAGGTCACCACTGTGGCTGGGATAACGGTAACCATCCCTCCCTGAGACCTAGTAATAGAAGAGGGCAACATGTGTTTGGTAATAATCAACTTGGTGATATTGGGCTGACCGCCAGCCCCAGAAGACGCCTGGTTTGCCACATAGGAGGAAAGAGTGGAGTTAACAACAATGGAAGGGGACAGGGCAGGGGGCTCTGTTGAGGCTGGGGCTGGGGCTGGAGATGCTGGGTCAACAGTAGCCATAGGAGGTGGAGAAGGAGTCTGGGACGGTGGCGCTGGATCCAGTTCTACTGTTTCCACGGTGGCCTGACACTCTTGAGTGTCTTTATATGCAGCCAGAGCCTTCAGATACTCTTTCTTGGCAGCTTCAGTTTTCCTCTTATACACCTGGTTTTGCTCCTCTCCAAGACTATCCCACATGGAGGCCACAATTTTTGAAACTTCCCCAAAAGTGGCATTGGGATTCTGTCCCTTAATGGCAGCCTGTGTATCACGAAAGAATAAAGCAGATGCTGAAACTGGCTTCTGAGGTTCATTAGGACCTTTCTTTTTTCTCTTCTTTGGGGCCTTCTGCTTTTTTCCTGCTTCCACCACAGCTGTCTTCTGGCTGGGAAGTTGCCTCCGGAAATCCTCAACACCATCCTCATGAAGTGAACTAGTAGGTGAAGGGGTGGTTGAAAGACGATCCTCAGGTGACTGGGCAGCTGGCAGGATGGCGCCACCCCCTAAGCTCAAACCAAGTTGAGAACTCAGTTCTGACTGATCAGTGGTGGTCAACTGGCTATGCCCCATCGAGCCAGATGGCATGTCTGTCATTGGTACATCAATTGTAACAGGTGGGTTGGCACTATACTGAGTTCCTATAGAATGGTCCAAGTCCATGGTCAAGCCCCCACTCAGGAGCCCCCCGCCCTGCTCCATCAAGCCATGGGTCATGCCCACAGGCATGTCCAATGTCTGGACCCCATATTGGGCTTGGGAACTTCCAGTTAGGTCTCACATAACTTTGTCACATGGCTAAATTTGCTGCAAAAGAGATTGGGAAATGGGGTCATTGTTTTTGGTGATCATATGTCCCAGCAAAAAAAAAAAAAAAGACTCTCATATTTTCACTCCCAACTATTTGCATAATACACTCTATACATGGATTTTCTTGTGTGTCTCTCCATTAGTTGGAGAGTTCCTTGGCATGGGTGACTAGAACTCAAGTTCCAGGTTTGGTTTTTTTTTTTTTTTCTTGCAATAGAACATTCCATTTAGCTTAAATGTAGACACATAGCCATACATGTCTGAGAATGTGGACATAGGCATAATCCTGCACAGGGAACATGCGTTGCAACCCAACGACTGATACAGAGGCCTCCTTGAAGAGGGGATATTTGAACTGAGAGCAGAATTAGGAGAGGGAGCTAGTCATGCAACAGCCAGAGGGAGGAGCCTTCCAGGCAGAGAGTTCAGCTAGGACAGAGGCCTCAAGTTGAGGCAAGAAGGGATTTGGCATTTTCAAGAACAAGAGGAAGCAGCGTGGCTGGAGGGCAATACATAGAGGGCGGGAGAGTGGGCAGAGCTGCCAAGGCAGCAATGGCAGGAACAGAACACATGCCGGCTGAAGATGGCCCAACATGGAGGTCACCGGAATGGGCTCTGGGGCAGGCCGTTTGGATAGCCCACGGTTCTACCACTTACTAGCTGGGAGACCTTGATAAGCGACTTAGTCTCTCTGTGCCGTAGCTTTCCCAACTTTAAAACAGTCATAGAACAGAATCTTTATAGAGTGGTTGTTAGAGTGGTTTAAAGAACAGAAACTTATTTCTCACCATTCTGAAACACTGTGAGCACTCGATAGGTCCTTTACACCTACACACCTGCTCTTTCGAAGGTGTGTCTAGCTTTCTGCCACTCCTGTCTTTCCACTATCTTAATACCCAAACCTAGGCTCCTGCCACCCTCCTGCTCTCTAGTTCAGTTAGTTCCTCTCTCACTTGGAATTAGGTTTGACTACAATATAAAGCAGGTTAGACATAGAAAACTTCTTCTTCTCTCAAGTGGAAATCCTGAGGTAGACAAGCCCAGGCTGAGATGGTGGCTCTGTGGATATTAGAGACCCTACTCCTTGCATCTTTCTTCTCCATCATCATTGACTCTGGCTTCAGATAGATGCTGGGGTTTCGGCCAACGTCATGTCCATGTCCCAGAAAGATAAAAGGTAGAAGGAAGGAACGCTGGGTGGCTCAGTCAGTTAAGCATCTGACTTTGGCTTGGGCCATGATCTCAGGGTCCTGAGATCGAGCCCTGCATTCAGCACTCAACCCTTACCCCACCCCCACATCCAGCCCTGCGCTAAGCAGGAGTCTGCATCTCCCTCTCACTTTGCCCCTCCGCCTACTCGTGCGCTCTCTCACTCTCTCTCTCTCTCAAATAAATAAACATCTTAAAAAAAAAAAAGGTGGAAGGAAGAAAGGACAAAAAGGCATACTCATTTTAAAAAACTATTCCTGAAGCCCTATCCAACAGCCTGCTGTCATTTCATTGTCCAGAATTATTCACATGGCCACACCCAGCTGGAAGAGAGGCTGGTGTATGTTTTTTCCAGCCTGGCACATTGTATGGGGTTTAATTACTGTGAAAGAATCCTATTGGGATAAACCATCTTCTTTCTTGTTGCCCAGATTCTAATCCAGACTCCCATTCTTTGTCTCCTAGGCCACTTCTCACGGGCTCTCTGTCCAAAAATTCCCATCTTCAACCCATTTTACACATGCACAGCCTTCAGTAGCTTTCATTTGCATCAAGCAGGGCCCACAAACTAGTATCTTGCAAACTGAATCCAGCCTACAGTCATATTCTGATTGACCTTCATGGTACTTTCAAAACAAAATAAATTACGTACCACTGAATTGAATTACTTACCAAAGTTTAACAAACCAAAATTCTCTCTAAAATCCTGCATTTCCTTCTTTTGATAGCAGAGGTTCTGGGCCCACATCCCTAAATAGCAATAATTAGCTGAGGTTGGGTAATCACTCACTGCTTTGGATAGCGTTTGGGATTTCCAGTTTGCCCCAATCCCGGCTCTTCTCTTGCCTCTTCCCAGACCATACCCAGATCACAGAAAATTTACATTTTCTGACTATCCCCTGAAAGCATTTGAGTTTATGAATCTTGG